CTCAGCCGTTGCCAGCACAAGCTAAAGTCTGCGAAGATCTACGATTCTGTATATGCTTCCCTTTTCACGTACGACTACAATTCCGAAATCATGAAGGCGTTCTTCGAGGCATGGTGTCCGACTACAAATACCCTCTTGACGTCTCCCGGAGAAATGTCTATCTCTTTATGGGATTTGCACATCCTCTCCGGGCTACCGTTAACCGGGCTTCTTTACGATGAAGTTGTCCCTGCCTCTCAAGAACTCATTGGTACCGATGCAAAGGGTGTTCGATATTCTCACCGTTCCTGCCGATATCTATTCCATGTCTACCACTTACTTCGGAAGCGCTCTAAAGATCCTTCCTCCAACGTCTCTGTCGAAAGCTGGATTCAGTTTTGGTCGAAGAAGCAGAAGAAGTACACTCAACCTCCTCCACGCAAAGAAAAGAAAAGTGTTCGCCCCAAGTCAACTCACAATCCTTCCGGCAATATTGAAGCACATGCAAAATGGATCAACATTGAAGAAGCTGTGTTTTCGAGCATTAGCGTTGATGTCGAACTGAGGTCCGAGACATACTTGGCGGCCCATTTGGCTTGTTGGCTTTGCACCTTCGTTCTCCCTACTGATGATGTAGGCATGATACGTCCTTCAACGTTCAAGATGGCTAGCATAATGGCGAGTGGCGAAGAAGTCTCTCTTGCAGTTCCTGTCTTAGCAAGCATCTTCAACGGCATAAATAGGATTTCGAGATCCTTGAGACCCCATCAAGAGAACTCTCCGTTTCCTATTCACTTCGTCTATAGTTGGTTGGCGCTTTATTTCAAGACCCATTGTCAAGTTCTGCAAGGCGTAGCCGTCGATGGCCCAAAGATGATATCTTATTCCGGAGAAGGAAGCGCTAGATACTACACTCCCGCAGATGCACGCAAACGAATTCACAAAGGAGATCTTATGTCTTGGACTTGCACCACGATCCCTAGGAGCGAGTCTTCTTTATATGTTGATGATGGAACAACAAAAGGGTCCGAGAGAAATTATTTCATCGCCATTCGCTCGAGCTATCTCTCCTTGCGGCGTGGTAATCGTTTCGTTATTGAGCCATATAGTCCTCATCGGTTTAGCCGTCAATTTGGGTTTTACCAAGATGTGCCTGGAGTACTTGATGAAGACGTTCGCGAGGCTTCTTTAATAGATGGACTCCGTTATTGGCGTCTATGTGTTTTGCTCGAGTCCATGTCTAAAGTGATATTTTCCGTCATTCCTCAAAATTCGAGAAAGTTTCACACGGACGGCTATAAAAGATGGTGGACTAAAGCTTACGGAACTTATCTTGAAAATAAAGTTGCGAGTTTGGTGAACTTGGAGTTAAGTAAGATTCCACTTGAAGACAAAGAAGATGAGGCAAGGAATAGTCTCGGCAATCTTTCTCGCGGAAATGTGCTCCAAACCAAAAACCCTCATAGAGATATAAAGAAGAGGAACGTTTTGCCTCCGTCGGATGAGAGTGACGATAGCCACATAGAACGTCATTGGAAAAGGCCGAAGAGGGACCCGCAATCTTCAAAACCACAAGATCTTCATATTGATAACAGTGTGGATAGTCATTCTCGAACAAATGACACTTTTGCTGAGAAGGTTGCACTTAACACTTTCCCTTTTTTTTTTTTTTTTTTTTTTTTTTTTTGTCTTAATGATTTTTTTTTTTTAGTTGGAAAACGAGATAATTAACGTTGATGATCGCGAGGAATCTCAAGCTAGTCATCACTCAACTGCCAAGGCTTGCTCAATGGGTGCAACTTTGTCGCCGACTGCTTTAATGCCTGCCAGGGCATCCAAGATGAAAGAGACTGCTTTA